AATTCTGGCGGGTCAGCCATTTTTATGCGACTGCCACGCCACTCTACGTGGCTGGCTGCAATATCGTCACTGCTGGGACTTATTCGCTCACAATGGTTGGCTAATTGGGTACCCATTAGAATGAGAGGATTATCCCGACCCTAGTAATAGGCTGGCTCCCGACTACCTGAAGGTTGCCGGGCCCTGCTGTAGACCATGAGCCACTCAATTTCCAGTATTTTACGAAGAACTTGTCATTAAAATCATTAAAATTATTTGAAGATTTAAAACATGTTCTTATGCTTTAACTATAGGTTCTAATTATGTTGTAGCCGTTTATATACTAAATGTTCATATTATATAGGAGTTGTAATATGAATAAAAATCAATAAAATTGAATCCAATTTAGATCTTTCCACCTTTATCTGAACTTCATTACCTAAACCTGATCCAATTCAGAACCGGAGACTTGATCCAGTCTGGAACCGGTGACTGTATCAAATCATGATTAAAAACGCCGTTACACTACTGATCAGGGCTTGATCCAGTCATCGTCTCATTTCTTGATCCAACATCCGGCGCAACTTGATCCAATCCAGCCTTGGACCTGATCACAATTTCCACTCGAGATATTAATTTACTCGGGGTGATTCGTTTGGAGAATAAGATTTAACTAAATTGTATTACACGATTGGTCAATAGCAAAAAATGATAGCCATGATAGTCTAAGCATTTTATTAATTGACTCGAGGGAGGGAGGCAGCTTGCGGCACCCGTTACATGGAAAAAAATTAGTGATTCTAATGCTTAATGAATAGAGGGGAGAGATATTGGGGCCAATCAGCAAGAAAGAAACTCGACTTTTACACCGAAACGTGCGGGGAAAACTCACGACGAATAACAGAATAGAGTAGGTGTCACTAGAAAATCATAAGAATCGGAGTCAAGCATTGGCTATAAAAATATTAATAGATGTCGCTCACGGTCAAAGGAAAATAAGGATAACTTGATTTACAAGAGAAGAGAGCTGAGGACACTTAGCACCTATCATAGGTTTCTTCCTGCCTATTTTCGTGTACCAGATCGCCCGCGCGTCCTGTACAGATACATTCAACCAAAATGTTAGAGATTTAACCACGACGACGTGGTGGAAAGTTGGTTTCGTCTTACGGGTTTACGCTCATACGCTATGTCCGAGTAATATCGCGGACAAGGATAAATGAAGTCAACAACTTACTTCCAATTGAATTTGTTTATATTCTGTACACGTATTCAACAATATTGTAAGAACATCGAATTTCTCTATTATTGATTTTTGAAATCGTGAGGACCCAATAAGAAAAACGCTAACCGATCCTGAAGACGTGTTCTCAGAAAGAGAAGCAGGATCTTCCACTCCTTAGATACGATATAGTAGCTTCGAGAAGCAGATTACATTGGTTCATAGGAATGTTCTTGAAGGTTGAGTATGAGTGACAGCTCTACCTGGTAACCTGTTGTCACTATCATCGGTTTCCTGACAACATTCTCGATCTTGATAGATTGCCCTTTTGCCTAGAAGTAGGGATAATCAGAATATTCTAGACACGCTCAGATCGCTTTCCTCTGGACGGGTAGCCTGCCATATGTACTTGGGGTACCTCTGTGTTCGCCATTCATTTATATCTCATTTTATGTTGCCTTCTCTTTTTTCTTTGGCGGAGGCTGCCTATCCGTCTTTCTTTGACTTCCGTGCGCCTTCTGTAGCACCCACTTTTATCGGCGTTAATTTGGGTACTAATGAACGAATGGGATCAACTCGATTCCATTCAACACTAAAACACTACTCCACATAAAATTCGCATTCTTCTTACGGTGCTTTCTGCGATTTTTCGATTATGGTGTACATCGATTTCTCTTATGTTAATCTCTAGCAGCTTGAACTCCTTAGATTTTGTTTTGAACACTGTTTGTTCACGAAAAACTCGTAAAACTATTTCCACATTTGAATAGTAAGTGAACTCCTTCTTTTCTCAATTTCATCCATTTAAAATGGAATCTCTGACGCACATGATATTTTTAAGGTTATGATATACAATCGACATAACATTTGCAATTATATTTCGTCCTCGTTCTTCTACATGAGAAGGTGTAGTATACCGTCGATCCACTAGGTGCTACACGCGCATTTCAGAACTAGAAAGAGAAAAAAGGGGGAGAGGGGCCTCATCCACCACTCCCACTTATTGCGTAGATATTTTACTTTTTCTTCGCCTGCGCTTCGTGACACATGTGTTTTTTCAAAGTTTTTAAAAAATTTTTTGACGCCATCGCGGCCGGTAAAACGGGTTTCTAACCTTGCTTCGCTCGGATAAAAACGCGTTTTCGACCATAATGACATAAAATAGCATTATAGTCACGGCGAAAAAACTGATTGTGATTCATGCGCGTTATAAGGCCGCATTCGTCAAATTCACTTTTTCCGTCCTAGGCGTGAAAAATACTATCCCGATAAGATGGGAAAAACTCCAAGAAAAGATGTCGCGAAAGAGATGAATTACTGAATCAGTTGTTAAATAAAGTGCAAAGGTTAGAAGAAAAATTGGGCAAATCTGACTCAACCCATATAACTCCGAGGACAAAGAGAACATCCTCGAGAAGGAGAATGTGGTGTCGAACTACCAGAACACGCAAGAGGTGACAGACATCTGCGATGTTCGTTCAGAAGACACTCAGCACTCTATAGAAACTGGTGAGAAGTCTGATGATATTATCAACGACCACCTGGATGAAGATTGGATCAAATTTGTGAGTAAAAAAAATTTTTCCAAAGACAATTGTATGACTCATATGCCGACGCATAGTCCTGTGATACTACGTCCATGCTTGACCGTGTGGCAAGAGAAGGATGTAATTAGTTATCAGTGCTTGTTAAATCACAAGACAAGTTTTTTACTCGGGAAAAGATATCTCTCTCTTTTTAAATGAATAAATCAAATATTAGATACAGTGAGAGAAAAAGAAAACTACCAGGGTGATCAGAACTCAATCTTATGACGTGCCTAAGACCTACCGCGACCCGTCCATGCTTGTTTGTGTAACATGATAAAGACGTAATAAACTATCCGTGCCTGCTGGATGGCAGACCATAATCAATATATTTTCTTTTGCCTGAATATCGAGTGTTTTCATCACATATCGCCTAAATATATCTAATTATATACAGATATTTATATATATCTATTTCCCCTTCTACTTCCTTTTAGTTAGGTGATAATCCAATCTCCACCAAAGCAGTTAAACAATATCATTTTATCCCAATTTCTTGAGAAGATGGGAATTTTTCTGCAAAGAAGCCATGTAGAAAGAGGAAATCGAGTCACTATTGGGGAACTATGAATGTATAGTGGAATTAGAAACCCCCAAATTAAACTCGCAGATTGCGGCTATTGGGAAAGATTTTGCTGTTACAAGAGACAATCATATGATTGAAACTCAAAAATTATCCCTGTCAATTTGTGGTTCCGTAGTCTCAGCAATTTATGAAGACAAGGATGATTTCGGTCTCGAAAAGCTTTTGACACGCATGCGTGATGCTGCAAAACTGGTTGCTACTATTATATACAAGCAGATATCCTCAAGAAAAGCTTTTATTGAACCTGGACTGTCCAAAGAAACTAAGGCCATTCTTAAAGAAACTCAGCCTGGGGAATTCTTATATGGAAAGGATTTGTTCGAAAAAAGTAAAGACGCTAAAGCGTTGGATAAAATGAGTAAAACTCTCAAACTTCCTCAGGTGCTAAAGAAACCAGCCATTGTTTACCAGCAGTCAAATTCCAAGATCCCGTTTGTGAGGAGTCTGACGGGGACAAACGGGACCTATGTATTTCGCCAGACGTCTGAGACAAAGGGTGTTTTCAAAAAACCACCAACA